TATCTCTCCACTGGGACTCTATAAACACACAGATGATAAGCCTATTCACTCTGTCTCTTAGGCTTTTTCGGGGGGGGGGGGCGATATTTTATTTTTTCTTTTCAAGATTCATCCATTCTTGATTGTTTTTTCTGACCTCTTAACTAGTTCATTTATTCTCTGTTTAAGCTTTATTATATCTGTTAATTCATCTGTTCACAGTTTTAAAATTTATTTTACTTTTCCTTCCTACCATTTTCTTTTGGTGCTTCATCAACTCTGCTACATCTCCTTTTGTAATTCACAATTATTTGCCAAATTTTTCAACCTAGGAATTTTTTAGTTTATTTACTTATTTTGAGAGAGAAAGAAAGCACAGGTTGAGGAGGGGCAGAGACAGAAGGAGAGGGAAAGAGACAGAGAGAGAGAGAAAGATAATCTCAACCAAGCTCTGCACTGTCAGTGCAGAGCCTGAGGCAGGGGTTGAACTCATAAGCTACGAGAATGTGACCTGAGCTGAACTCCGATGCTTGACCAGGTGCCCCTTCAATCTAGTTTTTTATGATCCTGAACACAGTAAGCATTGTTTTGGTTTGGTTTTTAGCATAGTTATTTTACCTTAAACATTTTTATTTATTTTTGAAAGGGAGAGAGAGAGAGAGAGCAGGAGAGGTGCAGGGAGGGACAGAGGATCCAAAGCAGGCTCCTCACTGACAGCAGAGAGGCCAATGAGGGACTTAAACCCAAGAACCCTGAGATCATCACCTGTACCTAAGTAGGGCACTCAACCAACAGAGCCACCCAGGCACTCCTGGGATAGCTATTTGAAAGTTCAGTCTGATAGAGCCTATGTCTAGAAAATCTGGCATCTGTTTTTAATTTTTACTGTTTCCGCTGGTTCTCATTCATGTTGTTGTATCTCCTCATATGCCTAGTTATTTTTGGTTGTGAGCCACACACTGTATTTGAAAGACTATTTGTAGTAATTTAAGGTCCTACATGATATTATCTTAGCCTACAGAGGTTTGCTTTTGCCAGGTGCCTGGGGCTACATTATTTAAATTTCATTGACTGAAATGATTTGAAGGTAAGCTGTAGTCCTGTTGAGGGCTGTTCTATTTCCAGTTCACCCTTACCTTTACATGGATGTGACCTTCTGGGGTCCCAAACCAATGAGGAGAAACTTACCAGCACTCACATCATCCTTAGCAAGCCATGAGCCCTAACTTTTTAGCTTCTATCAAGAGGGCTGCTCAACCTCTTAGGCCCTCTTTTGAAATTCATTAATATCTCCAGGAGAGAAATAGTCCCAAATGTTGGTTTTACCTCTCTGGATTTATGCCTTTTTCCAGATCTCAACCTGATAATTATTTTACTTTGTTAGCTTTCTGAATGCCTTTAAAGCGAAATTTAAAATACTGTGTGTAGCTTTTGCAGTGATCTGAAGTCAGGGTTGATTTATACTATCTAGTCTGGCATTACTAACGTGGAGATCCTTAATTTATATCACTTAAATAAAACCAAAATTGTATTGTGGTTTTAATGTGGTTTCAGGAATGGAATTAGAGGTGTGTTCAACTCACCGTTATAACCTAGAAGGTTGTTCTTTGTTTTCTTTCAGAAAAAAAATTAAAAAGCATGTATCAACACATATCTTTACACCCTGTGAATGACAGGATTCTATTCATTTACTTTTGAACTTCACAGAATATCCAATAAATTTTCCATATTAGCACTGATAGCAGTACTCTGTTCTTTTTTTAATAGTTGCACTTCATATCACTCAATCTAACTCAACAAATATTTACTTTACCATGCTCACTGCACTATACTTAGCTTTAGGGCTATACTGGTAAGCAAAAGCTGTGTCCCAGCACTCAGGGAATTGACAGTTGAGTGGGAGTAAAATATATTAATCTTATAGTAATATATATAAATGCACAATTACAACTCTATCAAATGCTAAGGAGAGGTACAGAGTGATATGAGACAACATGACAGGGATACTGGACAACATGTCAAGGAGGTCAGAAATGTCTTCCATGAGGAGGTTACAACAACCTGGACAAGAGCTGATGGGACGAAGGAGGCTTGTATGAAGAAAATAATATTCTTTTTTTTTTTTTTTAATTTTTTTTTTATGTTTTATTTATTTCTAGGAGAGAGAGACAGCGTGAGCAAGGGAAGGTCAGAGAGAGAGGGAGTCACAGACCGAAAGAGGCTCCAGGCTCTGAGCTGGCAGTCAGCACAGAGCCCGACGCGGGGCTCGAACCCACGAAACGCGAGATCATGACCTAAGCGAAAGTCGGACACTTAACCGACTAAGCCACCCAGGCGCCCCTCTTTTTT